GAAGCATCACTTCCTCAGGAAGCCGCCTGACCTGACGGGAAAACTTTATCTCATTATACTTAGTACATTTTACTTTTCTGTTCCCTGCTTTTTTTGGGTCCCTCACTTCTAAGAGCTTAGAATTGCTTATTTTCAAAAGCACTTGATGTCTTCCTCATTAAACTTTGTACCCTGAAGGCAGGAATGTTTTTTCCTGCCAAAGGGTCCCTGGCACATAAAACAGTCAAATTTACTGAAAGAATGATAATCTGCTAAATGAGATCTGGTTGCTTTGCAGCATGTTTGTTGCCCTGGTTTCTGTTGGCCATAACTGAAGTTTTGAGCCAGTTGAAGCCCTAATGCTAAGGAATTGGGATGTAGTGAGGAACCATGAACTATTTCTATAGGATAAGAAACTAGAGCTATATTAAAAAACAAACAAACAACAACAAAAAAACTAGATCCACAACAAAAGTTAACGTGGCTCAAGAATGGCTGGGTGTAAGGTCAAGGGGGCACGGGGTAGGAAGCAACAGTAAGCCCAGTAATAAACGGTGAGGACTTGAACTAAGGCAGTTGCAGTGAAATGAGAGGGAGGAACTGTAACTGACTCAAAACACATTTGGCAGGGCTTCCAATGATATGTATAGGTACGTCAAGATTTCTAGGCTAAACAACTGGGTGCAATTTGATGACGTCATTAAACAAGTAGACAATACAAGTGGAAGGATATAGGATGGGGCAAGGCAAATAGTGTTTCTAGCTATGATGAAACTAAAGTAATTTGAAATTCGTTGGAATGCAGCCAGACTATTAGGAAATTGGAAAGTAGGGCCTAGAATTTAAGAGGTTGAGGCGGTTCCTGCATGGAGTTGCTAAGACACCGAGAGGACTGCGGGGCTACCAACAACTCAACATATGTTGTCCCCTAACTGGAGCATATGGAGACAGGGGACAATAATGGTGACAGTGGGGAGACAGTGTGGGATTGGAGCATAACAGATCAGCAATTGGAGTAAAGCCGAGCCACAGAGTCCCTGAGGAGCCCCAAGAATGGACGGGCAGCCCTTGGGTCTCCCTTAGGACAAGGAGGGAGGGTCTCATGGGGACCACCAAACAGACCTGAACCTATGTAGGGTTTTTTTCCTTTTGTCTTTTTCTCTTTCCTTTTATTTCTTCAACTGTATGTTTTCTTATTGTTTGGAATAGGACATGGATGGTTTGTCTAATTATATGGGTTGGACCAAGGGAGGGAAGCCCAGGGAGAAGGCAATGGGGCCAATGGCCCCAGAAGGTAGAGGGGGAAGGAGGTGGGGAGAAGGGTGTGGTGAGCAGATGGCATCATGGACAGGGGAACAACTAGGGATGCGGAACCAGCCTGTAAGAGAAGTTAGAGATCCTGTATTAGAGCAACACCAAGCTAGTGGAGAGGAAGCACTAAGAGGTAGAAGAAGAGCGATAGTGATGGTGGGGCAAGAGGAGGCAAAAGGAAACAAGAGGCAAGCTCTAGGAAGTAAAGGCAAAGATAGGGAGATTAACAGAGGTGTGCATTTATGCAAATACATTAATCCCCAACAATAGTGGTATTGGCCCATTACATATATTTATAAGGCAATACACTGAAGCTGCAGATAGGCCTTGGGCCTTGGCTCATACCTCCCCTCAATACAAGAACACACTGTTCTAACAAATTAGCATTCTGTGATGCCCCCCTCCCCCCAGATCACTGAAAACAAAACGGGTGCATAAGCAGATGTGGTGAAGACAGAGGATGGTGCCTGGCTATTAAAAGATATAGCGTCTGGGGTCTTAAAGGCTTGAAGTTAACATGCAGCCATCCAACAGTGAAGCAACAAGCCCACATGGAAGAAGCACACCAGCTGGTGCAAGTGTGAAGTGTTGAGACTGGGCAACGGGCATCAGGATATTCACAACAAACAGTAAAAAAGCAAACAAAAATGCATTGGTGAGAATGGAGGAGTTGGAGCAGAGACCCAAACCCCATCTAAGGACAATGGAGCATCCCCCCACAGAGGGATCGCAGGGGAGGGGTGAGTCAATCAGGGTGCAATAGAGCACTAATGGGTCACACAATATACTTCTGTTTCCTGGAGGTCTCCTCACCCACCTGCTATCCAGACTTCAGTGCCACCTCCCAATCTAGACTAGATGGGAGCGTGTACATAGGTATAGGCAAGAGAGAAAATTCACAACACATGGAACCCAGGCACAGGAATGGGAGTAGAGATACCAAAAGGGTAGGGGGAATGGGGTGGTAGGGGGGCACTGATCGCAATGTGTAGTACATAACCACCACCCCTCTCCCCCAAGTCAGGGGGAAGAACAACAGAAACCAGAGGGGAAGGGAGACAGCAGTCGATATGAGATTTGAAAATAGTTAACAATCTACAATCTATCAAGGGGCCATGAGGGTTGGGAGAGGGGAAGGAGGGAGGGGAAAAAAGAGCTGATCCTAAGGGCTCAATAGAAAGTAAATGCCTAGAAAAGAACGATGGAATACATGTACAAATATGTAGGATACAACTGATGTATGGATTGTAACAGGAGTTGTAAGTGCCCCCAATAACATAATTATTTAAAAAAAAAAAAAAGGTTGAGGCTGAAATTTTAGGTTTGATTAGACTTCCAGGAAGATGGCGACGGAGTGACACATACCAGAGGGACTCCGCAGAATTCAGCCCAGGAGAGTTGCTTAAAGGGAAATTCAACACTGCTGCAACGCAGGAGGAGCATCATAAAGATTAGTAGGCACAGACCCACGGGGTTTTGAGGGGCTGGGGGGCTTTTGGCTTACCACAGTGGAAGCTGGCTGGGGCTTAACGTTGGCCCTGCCACTGTCACTGACGGAGCAGGGACTACTTGGAGCAGGTAGGGTGGCTTGGTCTCAACACAGCCACAGTTTGCTACCGTCTGCCTCCAGGCAGGGTCTGGATCCTTGCAGCTCTACC